GTGTGACACTGAAATATGAACAGAAACAATGTTTGTCACCTCTAGGCCAAGGTATTTGAGAGCCAGTATGCCACCTCCATGCTCTCTGTTCCATTCAACAGCACACACGGAGATCACCTGTTGAGAAGTGGAACCACCAATGGGAGCAGCCTGGATCCCTGGGTCATCTGACAGTGGAGGCCCCTGACTACCCACCCCAGATTTTATGTGTATGAGAAATAAACGTCTGTTGTTTTAAGCTACTGCAGGTTTGTAGGCTTTGTTGCATCAGTTACTTTATCTGATTAATGCACACCTACTATTTTTATGGTTAGCTGTATTTAAATATTGTAATTACAAAGGTAATAGGACATATATTCTTGCTGCAAAAAATTCTAATACAGATAAATTACAATCTCCTTCTTTTCTTAAAATTCAGTCCCCTCCTCAGAGGCAACCACGATTAACAACGTGATGTGTGTCGTTTTAAAGCTGCTCTGAGGCTTTTTCATATGTAGATATACTATAAAAATACATTAAATGTAACAAACATGGCTAACAGTGTACGTATTGTTCTGCCTCTTTACCTTGTCACTTAACAAAATGAATGCAGGATATTTCCATGACAGCACATGTAGATCCACCACACTCTTTTAACTACTCCCTACAATTATTTTTCTTTTTTAAAAAACAGGCTTATTGAGCTATAATCGATAAACAAAGAACTGCACATATTTAGTATGTAGAATTTGATGAGTTTGGACATAAGCATCCACCATCACTGCGATGACAGTAATAGACTTATCTAACACCTCCAAAAGTTTCCTCGTGTTCCTTCGGTTTTTTTCTTTTGTGCTGAAGACACTTAACGTGAGATCTATGCTCTTTCAAAAAGCTTAAGTACTGTTAACTGCAGGCACTCTGCTGTACAGCCGATCTCTAGCACTAATTCATCTTGCATATCTGAACGTTTGCAGCAATTAAACAACTCCCCATTAACCCCTTCCCCCAGTCACTAGTAACCACAGTTGACTCTGCCTCTATGAGTTTGACCATTTTAGGTACCTCATATAAGCAGAACCACGCAGTGTTTGTCCTTCTGTGACTGGCTTATTTCACTTAGCATAATATCCTTTATGTCCATCCATATTGCTGCAAATAGCAGGATTTTCTCTTTTAAGGATGAATAATAATCCACTCTGTGTGTGTGTCTCTGTGTGTGTGTGTATATGACATTTTCTTTGTTCATTTATCTTTGATGGACATTTGAGTTGTTTCCATAAATTGGCTATTGTGAACAGTGCTGCAGGGAACATGAGAATGCAGATATCTCTTCAAGATCCTAACTTCTATTCTTTTGAATATATACGCAGAAATGAAACTGCTAGGTTACATGGTAGTTCTATGTTTAATTTTTCAGAAACTTCCATACTGTTTTCTATAGTGGCTGTACCATTTTACATTCCCATCAACAGTGTACAAGGGCTTGATTTCTCCACATCCAACCCAACACTTAATTATCTTTTTTTTTTATTACAACCAGCCTCACTGGTGTACAGTGATAGCTCATTTTGGTTTTGAGTTCAATTTTTTTTGATAATTAGTGATGCTAAACATCTTTTCATACCTTTTGGCCATTTGAAGGAGAGATCATCAAGAAGAATAAGATAGGAGCAATCAGGGTGTTGCAAACTTGATTACGCAGAGGCGTTAATCATGTATCTTGGGAACGTCAATCATCATGTTCCAATCTGCCTTCCAAAAAAAAGACAGATAAGGATTATCCTACTTATGTTTGTGTGATAGTTAACCATTCTCCTCTCATGAACATGAAAATTGTTTCCCATTTGTTGCTATGATGAATAGGACTGGAATAAATATCTCTGAACCTGAAATCTCAGACAAACGTGCATGCTTTCTCATAGGAAAGAGATAGCAAAGTGCAAACGAGTAAAGTGGGCAGAGTGTGAAACTGAAAATTTTTCACAAATATTGCTGAATTTCTCTTCCAAAAAATGCCATACCAATTTACAGTCTCTCCGATTCAAGTGTGTGAGTGCTTTACATTCTCGTAAGCATTTTATTTCATCAGTCTTTTAAATTTTAGTCAAACTTTGGGATGAAAGGTATTGTCTCATTGTTATTTTATTTCCCTATTTTCAAATAGGTTGAGTATAAAATTAAATCAATCTCTTATCCATATAGAGCTAGATTTCTGTATTCGTGTCTTGAGTACCTGGATTCTTCTAGGCATTCTTTACATTCTGAAATATCAGTAAGATGCCCCTCTCCTTTACTCTGAAAAGCCAGGACTTGATGAGAATGATCAGTTGCTAGGCAACGGAGCCAGGCAAGACACCCTTAGCTAGTGAAGATATGAGATCAGAGCCATTGCCAGAATCCATGAGACAGACCATATGAAAAACCTTATCCAGAAAGCCCAGGGTAAGCTGGCACTCAGCATTCTGGATTTAGAGTTTAGCAAAAGTCAGAGAAGTGACCATAAGGAGAGAAAGAGGAGAATCTGGGTGGAAGGTCCAAGACAACCTCAGTTAATAAGCTTGGGAAATCTCTGAATTACCACCAGCAGCTGGAATTTGTGACGTCTGAGTGGGCAGATCTACTGGATGAAAGGACTAGAGGCATGCAAAAAACCTCACCCTACCTTAGCATCCTCTGTGTCTACTGTCAGGCAGAGTATAGGTAGCTCTTCTGTGTCACCCAGTGATGCTAGATGTTGAAAAAGCTATATCTCTGGGTGATTCTGGTAGTTCACTGCATCCTTACCCGTGTTCCTGGCTGGGAGCCATGCTGATGGCTGCTGGAGGCTGGTATTTTTATCCTGTGTACAGCGCCCTCCTCCACTGAGTTTGGGGCAGTATGAATGGGCAGGCTTGGTAAGTGATGACAGTTCAGATAGGCCAGGAATACCAGTGAGTAGTGGAAGGGGACCTAAAACTACAAAGAGGGAGAAATTGAGAGGAGATGTCCTGAGGCTAATTATTACTTCAATGATTCTGCACATAAAGGGCTGAGGGTGGACATGTCTGGAAAAGCTAATCTAGATGATATCCCCAGCTCAGACTGCCCCACGTGGCTCCTGAGTTCTTGAAACACCAGAGGGAAGATGTCCCACAGTTGTGTTTGGCGGCCTATGTCACCACCAGATATTTCCCAGGGTAGTAGGTTGATTCAAAATGCAGACATTTGCAGGGAAGATGGAGAACCTGTGGAGGTGGCACAGTTTCTTATTAAATTGACCATGGGTGACAGAAATGTGTGCAGTCTAGACCTCTATCTTTATTATAATACCTAACCTCAATGGACTGGAAAAAAAATTGTTGTATCAGCCATTCCCAAAGTAATCACATGATCTATATAGTACAATATAAATCACCATTCACTGTGGGATGTTACATAAAGTGTAGAGATGATTTGTGTTTCTAAGAAGGTCACACACATTGTATAAGGGGCAACTGAGTAAGACTAATATACAGCGAAAGGGACAAGAAATATGGCTTATTTACCTATATTAAAAATTTAAGAAAAGTTGGTATATTCTTCCTTTAGTACATTTTTCCCTATCTTTTATTTTTGACAGCAGTTTTATCTTTTCTAGCAGTCATAACCCTGAGCTCATTCTTTGCCTATCCTTTCACATTTACATAAGCAATAGTTTCCTATCCCACAACCTGTGTATAGCTCTGCATTTTCTTTTCAATCACTGTGCCTATCAGAAGCATATTATCATTGGGCAACCCAATAAATTGCAATAGACCTCAGAAATTCTGTCTCATAAGGAGAGAAGAACTGGACATTGGTGAATATTAGTAACTGTCCAAGTTGTAGCCTTCTTACATATTTAAAATCTTTAATTTTGAAAAAATTTTAGTTACATAGAAATTGTAAAAATAGTACAAAGAGTTCCTGTGCCTCTTACAACCAGCTTCAGTCAGAAATCTGTTTATCTTGTGATAGTACATTTACCAAAATTCAGAAATTAACATTAGTGTAATAGCATTAAGTAAACTACAATCAAATCTGGATTTCACCAGATTCAAATGAACATGCAATCAATCCTTTTTGTTTTGTTTTGTTTTCTTTAGTATATAACTAAGTACAATTTTATCACATGTATAAATTGTGTAACCAATACCAGAATAAGGACACAGAACCTTTCCAAAACCCCAAAGAAACTCCCTTGTGTTCCTCCTTTATAATCTCATCAAATGTGATCCCTGGTAACGACTGATCTATTCTCCATTAACATATTTTTTTTCATTTTAAAAATATTATACAAATGGAATTAAAAATTATGTAACTTTATGGGATTGGCTTTTTCACTTAGCATAATGCACTTGAAATCCACCCAAGTTGTGACCATGAATAATTTATCACTTTTGATTTCCAAATAGTCTTCCCTTGCATGGAGATACAACAGTTTGCTTACCCATTCATCCATTGAAAGAGATCTAGGTTATGGTCCAGTTTGAGGCTACTACAAATAAAGATGTTATGTCCATTTGATTATGGTGTTTTGTGTAAATATATATTTTCATTTCTCCAAATTTTCAGAAGGGGGTAGCTCTATCATGTGGTAAGTGTATGTTTAACTTTATAAGAAACTCACAAACTGACTTCCAGAGATGGTGGACCATTTTACATTCTCACCATCAATGAATGACAGATCTAGACGCTCCACACCCTCATTAGCACTTGATACTTTCATGAGTTTTCATTTTTCCCATTCTAATAGGCGTGCAGTAGCTTAAAATTATATTGAGGCTTAAAATTACATTACACTAATAGTTAATGATGTTGAATATTCTTTCATCTGCTTATTTACTATCCATATATCCTCTTTGGTGAACTTATGCCCATTTACTAATTGGATATTATCTATTTCATACTGTTGCATTTAGAGAATTTGGGGGGGCAGGCAGAAGGTAACAAGTTTTTCAACAAGTAAGTGATTTGCAAATATTTTCCCCCAGTCTGTGGTTTGTATTTTCCTTCTCTTAACAGTGTCTTTCACAGAACAAAAAGTTTTAATTTTTATGAAATACAATTTATCAGTGTTTTCTTTCATGGATTTAAAGTCAAGTATGAGAATTCCTCATGGTGGAGGTAACTTGTGTGCCCTGAAGTTGGAGTGGTTCTATAGCCTGGAATAAAAGGCATCTGACAAGACCAATGCAGGAAAAATTTTAAAGTTCTGCCCTGTGTCTTCCCAGTGTGTCTTGGGACACTTAATTTCTACTGATTCATTGCATGAATCTGAGAGAGCACACAGACCACAGGTGCCAGTGTCCATGGGGTTATGTAAGGACAGCATATCTGAAACCTCTTTGGAGGTGAGTACTGGCCTTTGTTATTATTTTAATAGAATATCGTATATGGACTAGAAATAGAATAGTGACTATCACAGTAAATCACATACAGAAAGGCTAGTATTTTTTCAGGAAACTTTTGAGATTGGGTATATTTGCAAATATACATGTACACACATATACACTCTTATATACTCATATTCACAGACATACACAGTTGGTAGCTATTTCTGTGTGAGCACTCATGCAGACTTCCCAACCAAGAAGGTGACTGTTGGTGCAATTCCTTTTGCTCAGTTATAAAATGAACACCCATTACAAATGCAAACATGCTGGAAAAGATCAACAAAGAGTACAAAGACAACTTCCTTGTAATCTTCTGGAAAGCCTCTGAACACAGGGAGCTGGTCGTTTGACTTACCTTGAAGGAAGTGGAATCTACCAAGCACTTCTATGGCTTGTCAGCAAACTGGATGTCACTAAGGATGGGAGTTTGAATGGTGGCAGGGCTTGCCGAAGACCAATCCTCTGATGACTCTCCTCGGCATATCTTCATGAAAAGCAGCTGCTCTACTAAGGAGGAGATCTATGAATTCTTTAATATAATGGGGGTGTAGACTGGGAGGAAACACTTCATCTATTCAAGCTCAGGATGCTTATTGCCAAATATTTGTGCAGGAAAAGTGACAGGAGTGCCAGCAGGTGCCCAACCATGATCCTCCACAATATGAATTCCTGTGAGGGTCCAAGAGCTCATGCTGAAACAAGAAAGATGAGAGTCCTGGGGGTTTGGGGAAGGTCACTTATATCATCCACAGTTCCTTCCCATACCAACATGGAGAAGCTTTTAAAAATGAGGAAGAGAGAGGTTGAGCAAGCTGTAGCGAGGGTTAGCACTACTACCACGGACAGCATACGTTCCAGGGCCATGTCCAGTTTCTTCTCCTACCCATACTGAGTCCGAGCTGCTTCCTTTTAACTTGTAACTGAAGAGAGAAGTCAATGTTTCAAGTAGTGAGGAACTGGTATTGGGCTGGAGGGAGCACAGTGTATATCATTTTGTCTTTCTGTTTTATGTGGAATCTTGGAGATTTCCTCCCTTCCTCTTTCCATCTCTTCCTTCTTTCTTTCTCTTTCTAATTTTTTAATTTTTCTTTTTTTAAAGTTTGTTGAAGTATAGTCAGTTACAATGTGTCAATTTTTGGTGTATAGCATAATGTTTCAGTCATACATATATTCATTTTCATATTCTTTTAAATTATAGGTTACTACAAGATATTGAATATAGTTCCCTGTGCTATACTGAAGAAATGTTTTTTTATTTTATATATAGTAGTTAATATTAGCAATTCTCAAAATCCCAATTTATCCCTTCCCACCCCTTTCCCCCGGTAACCATAGGTTTGTTGACTATGTGCATGAGTCTGTTTCTGTTTTATAGATGAATGAGTTCATTAATGTCTTC